AATAAGATAAAGTTCCCCCAGCCAGTGGGGAAGACAGCGGTGACAGCTAATTACAGCACCAAGGAATTCTGGTCTGAGCCAACACAGGAAGCCCCCTACCACACACACACACACACACACATAAATATTGGATAAGACAATTTGAAACCACAGCTGTGCATCCAAATTCCAAAAATGCACAGGGATTTTGAGAGAGTGAGTGTGTGTGGCGAGTGAGGGGTGGAAAGGAACCCAAGCAGAAATGTGTCACTAAGGAGTGGGTTTTATGTGCAGGCAGAGACAGATAGGAGACCTACGGCCTCATGGGTGGTGGGGGCTAAAATGGACTGTCCATATGACTGGGTGAATGGCAAACCCCAGGGAAATACGACCAAAGCAACCTCTAAAAATTCAATCTATAAAAAATCAGAATCTAAAATTGTGCCAAGCAAGAGAGCTGGGCTCCACATTCTCTTCTCATGGTGTGAAAACCATTAACAGAAAAAAAATCAATTCATAAATTGGTTTGAAATCCAAGCAACCCAATGGGATCCTAGCAGAGGCAAGCTTATACCTCCCCTGAGGCATGCCTCTACTGCCAGAGTATCTAGGATGCCCACAGGAAAAACTCTCACTGATGATGAGCTCACAGGGAGAAGTTATAAAGCACAAAGGGAAACAAACTGCCGGGAGAGGAAGTCTCAGATTCAATGCGGCAGCAGACTCCTCCATTCATGCAGAGCCCAGAATTAGCCAAAACCTTCTATTTTCCCAGTCATTCAATACTCTTCTGCCCCAACTCTAAATGAGACACTAGAGTGTCTGAAGCCCCTGCTTCTCTTTTTTCCAATTTTGTGAGAATACATAGCTGTCCCTTAATACAAGGTGGGCTCCAGCAACACCTCTTCCCTGTCAATAGCTATTCTGTGGATGCTAAAATTAACCATATAAAATGATGTCATGTTTATGTATACTTTGTGTGTGTGTGCACATGCACACGCAATGTATGTGCACATGTATGCAGAGGTTTTTACACCCATCCATGAGCAGAGGCCAGAGGAGGGCATGGGTGTACCGCTCTATCTCTCTGCTTTATTCCCTTGAAAAGGCTCTCACAACGAATCTGAACTATGCTGGTTGCCAGAAATCTCCAGAAAGGGTCCTGTCTCTACCAAAGACCGCAGTGCTAGGATTATGGTTTCACACGACTGCTTGCTTTTTTCATGTGGTTCTGGGGATTTGAACTCAGGTCCTCATGTTTGCATAGCAACCACGCTTACCTGCTGCGCCGTTTCTCTGCTCCGCATTTGCATCTGACTTATTTATGTATGTTCTCTTACACACTTTACACCAGCTTTTTTGGTAGTTTAAAGATCTAGCATAATGTAAATGGTATGAAAGTGGTTTTTATACTGTACAGTTTAGGGAATAGTGAAAAAAAAAACATGCCACTCATTGAAGATGCAATTTCCCCCTATGTGGCTTTAGGCTGTGGTTGTTTAGATTCACAGATACAGAGCTTGTAGCTCTGGAAGGCCAGTGGTTTACATCCCCAGTCACATATAACATATGTCTATGTATTTCTGTTTAAAATGCACAGTCTGCTAATAAATTCTGAAGGAAGCCCATATTCTTCCATTGACCAGATGTGACTGTGAGGGATGGGGCTTCTGCTGCCTCCTCGCCTGACAGTGTAGTCAGACTGCTCCAGGGAGGGGATTTTCCAAGCATTGTTTGGAAACTGAATCTCGTGAGACCTGAAGATCCTCAAGAGCTCCTCCCTGTTCTCACAGGATGACATCATTCGACAAATTTTCTGTCATAGCTCCAGATTGCCTACTCAGTGAGCTACTTCAGGCTACTGGAGTTTGTCATTTAAACCCAGTGATAAACATCCACCCACGTGCCTGCCTATACTCACTTGGCTGGGTCTGTGCAGGCCATGGCCATCTCTGAGAGTCAGCCTTGTTTTGAATTCATGGACACTCACCATAGCTGCCCTGCTTACTTTAAAATCCCAGCTCTCTCTTGGTCCGAGAAAAGTGGAGAGCACTTCAGCTACCCCACACAGGTGAAAGGATTCCTATCTGCATCATCAATGGCTAGCCTCCATCTCCCACTAACAGGGCCTTAGGGAACATACTCTCCCACCACACACACACAACTCCCCCCAGAGCTGCCTGTGTTCCATTAGCAGTTACTTCCCATACCCTTCAACCCCACTCTTCATTGCCACCTCCAGGCTGTCTCTCTGGTAAGAGGGATGCTGGTAGAACGCTAAGTGCTAGTTTTTCTGCCATGAGAAAAGAAGGTAACTAAGTGGTACTAGAGCATAACCCAGTAGTTGCCACCAGGGCTCCCCATGTCCTCTGGCTATCAGAGAGACACAAGCCCAGCTGCACTCTGTAACTCTATGGCAGTCGTCAGTCGTCATGCATACTTACACTCATTTTATCAGAAGCAAGAGTGGTCTGTCAATCATTACATCCTCTTGTAAAAATGTCTACTGAGTCCTGGGTGTGTCTGTCCCAGTGCTGTGGTTAAGGAAGGGCAAGGGACACTTTTGTTGCCACAAGAGAACTCAATACAGAGGTGACAAGTAGGCAAAGGACCATCTAAGTGTCCCCTTTAGTTATTCTAGTACAGTGACAGATTCACCTCCTTAGGGGTCTGGTCTGGTCACTGGTCACCATTCCTTCTGTCTTTCCTCCCTGCGAAGCTGCTTTAAGCCCTGTGGCCACATAGCTTAAGAAGCCCGGGTATGCCTTCTATAACTGGAATTTCTCTACCTCCTCCTCTTCAGCCCAGGAGAGCCTAGTCCTAACTAGAGCAGGTGATGCAATTGCATACACAAATATAACCCCCAGAGAGATGCCAACTTTCAAGTTTCCAAGGATACGGCAGTCTGCCATAGCAGACTACATAGGAGCTTGATAGTGTCCCATCACCAAAGGCCTTCCTTGGATGAAGGAAAATGGATACATGCTTAGGATCCAACAATCACTGGGGTAGGTGCATTTGAATGGGTCTGATCATCTCTTGTCCTTCTCTCTCTTGACTGGCCACCCCTTGGGAAGGGGCTGTACCTGGTGACTGTTTCTGTGGAGTACAACACGGAACAGAAGATGGGAGGAGGCTGGTGATTCGGTTACAAAGGGACAGGATTCCCGTCTTGCCAGTATCCCACCTCCCCACCCCACTCCCGGTTTGCTGCAAAGTGGTCTTTGTGATCTGCTCTACTGGAGAGAGAGGCTCACATAGAAAGAACTGAAAGAATCAGGGCCAAATCTACCAAGTGCCATGTGAGCCCATGGAACAGACTCCAGCCCCAGCTAGCATCTCCACCATAGTCTAATAAGACTCCCAAAGGAGAGCTTCCTGGCCCACAACAACTCTGAGACAGCAAATGCATGCTGCCTAAAGATGTCGAGTTTGGGTCATTTTTATGCAGCAACAGTTAACCGACAGTTACTAAGAGAATGTAGGGTGTCTTTTAGAAGCCTTTACATAATATTGCTTGTTTCTTCTCTTAAGACCTAGTTAACATGAATAGTAGTTAAGACCTAGTTAACAAATGTAGTAGTTTGCATATAATTGACCTCATAAGCTCACAGGGAGTGGCATTATTGGGAGATATGGCTTTGTTGGAGTAGATGTGATACAGAAAGTGTGTCACTGCGGAGGCGGGCTTTGAGGTCTCAGATATACTTAAGCCATGCCCAGTGTCTCAGACCACTTCCTGTTGCCTGCAAGATTAAGGTGTAGCTCCCCCCCACTCTCCGCCCCTTCTCCAGCACCATGTCTGCCTGTGTGCTGCCGTGTCTCACCATAATGATAATGGACTAAACCTCTGAAACTGTAAGCCAGCCCAATTAAATGTTTTCCTTCTAGAGCTGCCATGGTCGTGTTGTCTCTTCACAGCAATAGAAACCCTAAGACAGCTACTCTAACCAATCCCAGAAGACACCAGAAAATAGTTTTATCACAGCAGGAAATTCCTATAGCTAAGGGCTATTGGCTACAAGGCTCTTTATGGACAGACACTCTATGACAGTGCTTTAAACAAGCAGAAGCATCATACTTAGCCAAAAAGATTGAGAGATCAATCAGGATCGCTACAGTAACCTAGAAGCTTCTAGAGGCACCACCTCTCATTTGGTCCCACCATGGTAACATAATAGGAAGCAGTGGACCAAAAGAGCGAAGTGCCTTGTGTATGTGTGCATGTGTATTACATGTCTGTGTGCACAGGTTGGCATGTGTATGTGTGTCTACATATGCAAATGGAGATTAAAAGTCAATCTTGGATGTTTTTCCTCAAGTACTGTCTGTCATGTTTTGTTTTATTTTATTGTTGGTGTTATTGTTTTGAGACAGGGCTTTTCACTGCCTGGAAATTTCCCAGTAGACTAGACTGACTGGCTGGCTACCAAGTCCCAGAAATTCACACAATACTGCCTCTCTAGTTCTGGGATTATAAGAGTGTACTACATCTTTTTTTTTATTATAAGAGTGTACTCATCTTTTTTTTTTTTACATAAGTTTTAAGGTTGAAACTCACGTATTCAAGTTAAACACTTTATAAAATATGCCCATCTTCCAGCTCTGAAGTGTCTTAAAATGATAATATTAATTTGTTTGTATGTGGTACTAGGAGTGTGGGCCTACATGTCAATGAGTGTGCGTGTGTGTGTGTGCGTGTATGTATGTGTGTGTGTGTGTGTGTACAGGTCAGAAGACAATTCGTAAGAATCAGTTCTCTCCTTCTACCACATGGGCCTGAGAGATCATAGGTAAGTCACCAGGCTTGATGGCAGGTCCCTTTACCCACTGAGCCATCTTGCCAGTCCCCTAAAGTGTCTTTTAAGATCTGATAACTGATTGGTGGTAACCGAGGATAAGGTCCCAAGGTTTCCATCTTCCTGGCTTCTTTATCCATTCTGCCACAAAGATGCCCCACCCTAATTCAATGGTGAGCTCAGCTCAGGTCCTGAGCTAGCTGAAAAAGCAGCATGAGTTACTGAAGGACAACTTCAAATATTAACTTTATTTGTTCTGAAAACCGTCGCCATTCCTCATCCCTCCATGTAGTTCTGGTACAGCAACAAGGAGTTCTTCTTTCTGGCCTCCATAAGGTGCCTTGTTTTGTAAGAAAGGGTACAGCAAACACTTCCCATCAGGTCTCCATCTCCAGGTTCCATTCAGAAAACCTGGCCAGGATGGACTGTCACAATATTGCACACATGCGGGTGTTGCTGAGCCCTGCTGGTTTGTCACCTTTCCCTTCATCTTCCCTGAGTCAGTTGCTCCTGTCCTGGGGGTCTTTGCTCTACCTCCAGTTAAGGGCACCTGGTGCAGACATGGGCTGTTCACAGCCTGGGTTCCAGTTTATTTTGGTTCAGGGAAGCACCATCCCTGATCCGCAGCTGGATCCGCCTAGGGTCCTCATGAGCTCACAATGTCCCAGTGCTGGCTCATGAGCGATGACTCACAAGGGTTAACGACGACCTCTTTGCCATCCTCGGTGCTGTCTCCGAACATGTCTGTGTCCAGGCAGAGGTGGGATGCTATATGCTCGATGCGAGCACCTGTCTTCATCCATTGCTGAGGAGACAGAGGAGAGAAAAGGATAAGCTCATTTTCTCTGGATAAAGCCATGGGTTCTATGGATAATATAAATCACTTAGGAGTTATCAGAGGGGATGATACCACATGTGGTCAGCCAGAGATGTGACTTCATGGTCTCATGAAGGAAGAAAAGTGCCATTAATTATTCTGCTATGCAGCAGGGTTTTTATTTTTTTTTACATTTAAAATATGTATGTATTTACTTGTGTGTGTGTGTGTGTGTGTGTGTGTGTGTGTGTGTGTGTAGGCCAGAACACAACTTGTCAGAGTTGCCTTTTTCTTCCCATTGCCTGTATCTCCAGAAATTAAACTCAGATGGGCAGGCCTGGTTGCAAGTACCTTTAACCCAGTGGGCCAGCATTCCAGTTCTAGTCTTTGAAAAATGGGATTTAAAAAGTCAAAAGATACATCAGTGTTTGCTAGGAAAACTCATCAGAAGGCAATACTTTTCCAAGGAACAGAATAGAAAATGTGAACTGAGACACAGGAGCAGAAAAAAAAAAAGTCCATGTTCCATGTCTTTCTTTAGAAGAAGTTAGAGGAGAAAGAGCAGATGGGGCAGATGGGGCAGTGAAGATGACAGCAGGGTCTTCTTCAAAGTCTGTGCCAAGAGCCCACACAAAGAGATTCTCAGGCAGTGTCCCTTGATAAGGACAGAGGGATGGACTCATACCCGACTAGACATAGAGACCATTGCAATGCTTGCTCCCCATGGGTTTTTTGGGTTACATCAGCCTCCTTTTGGAGAAGAGAAGGGGAACTCAGATACAGTGACCCTCCATGTGCCACACTCAGCCATAGAATGAGCTCTTGAATCTCAGGATCCATATCTGGGCAGGACACTGAGCACATTCCCAGTACACACTGCTAGAGGAATGGCGTGCATCTCGGACACAGCTGACAAAGCCCAAAGTGCCGACTCACCAGTTTACACCTATGGCCCTGGCTCTTGGCTAAGAATCCAGGTAGGTGACAAAGCAGCAACAGGAATATACAAAGTGAGCAGGCCTGGTAAGATTGGCTAAAGTCTGCAGACTTGCAGGTATTCACTGAGCAGTGGGGCTAGCATAGCCTCTACTACTGACACCCTTGAGGGAGTCCTACCCCTGAATCTGAGTGGAAGGCTTCTTGCTTATTAACCCTTCCTCTTTCAATATATCCTCTCTTCTCCCTACTAGAAAAGACTTAAACCACCCCAGTCACTTTACAGAGGCTGGATCACTCTCAATCCCACCCACCCCAGTCATATAAGGAGGCTGGACCATTCCCAATCCCACTCACCCCAGTCACATTACAGAGGCTGGACCACTCCCAATCCCACCCACCCCAGGGTCAGCTGAGCACTTACCTGCCTTTCATCCCCATTCTTGCACAGGACAAGAACCACGGGGGCGCCAGGGAACAGGGTGACAACAGAGAGGCACAGCTCTTCCTGGATGATCTGCTGGGTGTACGTGAAAGCCCACACCTGAGGAGACCAGGGAGACTTACTCAGGCATGGGACAGCCACCAGCTATGGGGTACCACCATGCCTATGGGTGATGGCCCATACAGCTGGATAACAATTCCATGGATCCCAGGAAGTAACAATCATGGACAAGGTCACCTGGTAGGATGCTATTCAAAGGACGAAGACTGCCATGAAGTCCCTGTCCCCACACCCCATGTTGGGTCCTGAGCCAGGGACATGCAGGTGAATGCAGGAAGCAGCAGAACAATTCTGACTCTGGGCAGCAGCCTGAACAACACCTTAGCTGAGCCATATGATCTCCAGCGTCTGCTTGGAGACAATGTCTCCATGGGAGCCTGTGGCTGACATTTAACACTTCAGACAGCTGCCTGACAGGCCCAGATGTCTTTAGCATGTCACCTCTTCTTTGAAAGGAATTCCAAGTCAGTGCCTTGAGGACCTGAAAGCTATGATGAGGGGCAGATGGAAGGGTAAAGGGAAAGGAAACACTCAGGGGAGGCAATGGAGACAAGGAAAGAAGCGAGTTATGAAAGATGATGCTGTTTGAGAGAGTGTGCACAGTCTGACAAGTCAAAGGATTCTGCCCTTCAACCCCTGCTGGGGGAGAAGGTAGAGAAAGCAGATCAGCAAGCTAGAGTTCTGATGGACTAGGAAAAGGGGCGGTGGGGGGGGGGCTCATTCTGTGAGGTCACTGCAAGACACCAAAGTGGCAGATGGTTTCACCAGCCCAAGTACTCTCTAGTTCCCATGTTGGGAGACAGTAAGCCCTAGTGTAACTGCTGCCAGGGCCTGCATCTTTTCTCCATTATATCCCCGTGCATGAATTGGCCTTCTGTCTTTGGACCAGGCCACTCATGAGCTCCTTTGGGCAATGCCAATGAAGAGCAGACATCTTGTAGCAATAGGGCCAACTGTTCCTGAAGAGCATCACCTGTATTCATACTCATTTCAACTCCCATAATGTATTAGGGGTGACACTACTTTCTGGTCTGTCTTCTTCAGACCCTGGCATACTCATGTGGCACTATCTGGAACATTTTATGGGAGTTGAGACAAGAATATGAATACAGAACAGTGCTTTATGAATGCCGTACCAGGTTCCAGGACATGCATAGCGTTAGCTTCTCGGCTGTCTGCTACCTTCTCTTCCCTCCTCTAGTCTGTATATTTGAGCACAGATGTTCCCTAAATGGCCCTCTTTGGGTCTAGATATGTGTATTAGTGACTTTATCCACTTGAGAGGCCAAAGTCAGGCATGAAATCCACATGGGTCTTGAGCCTAGGCTGGGGCACTGGGCAAATGACTCTGGTGCCCTAGGCATCAGGAGTGTGATCTAGAATGGTAACCTGCATTTGGGGCTGAGACTCTCTCTCCTTATGGGAAGGATAAAGGCCCAAGGGCTGTGTCCAAGGGCAGAGCTTCAGGGAGCCATTCGTGGGCCTACAGAACAACTGGCCTGAAGTCTGTCAGATTTTACCCGCCCCTGAAAATAGGTTTAAGTCAGTGATGGAAAAATGAGTTAGTCTCTTCTGTTAATGCTCTGTAGCCCACTGGGAAGCACAAATTAACATTTCAAAAATAAATCCTGTCATTATCATACGCTCACCACAATACACGGCGTTATATTGTTTGTGTTAAAAGCATTACGGGATTAAACATAGAAATTTAAAACACACCCCAGTTTCTAAAAGCACACTTTGTCAGTCTTTTCTTTTTAACACCCTAAGGGCCTAAAAGTAGCAGGGATGAGTTCTCTTGACATCTGAGACTCTACATTCAGAAATGCCTCTTGAGAAGGGGCGCACCAGAGCACACGTGGGCCGGAGTCTAAGAAAGGCCACTCTAAGGGTCTGCAAAATGGAACTGTGAACAGGAAATTATCACAAAGTCCTTATACAAGGAGGCTAGAGAGATGGCTGTGGTTAAAAGTGGTGCTTTCTGCTCTTACACGCACATATACACATACATTCCTTACACTACATACACACATGCATGCACACACACAGATACAGATACACACACACACATGTGCTCGCACTCACGCAGGCACACACACATCCAGGCACATGCACAAACATATACACAGCACAGGTGTACACACACACACCTTACATAAGTGCACTTTCTGGAGTTTTCCTAATATTTAATCTCCCATCTGTAAGCAGAAAGAAGAGGGATGGGAAGCAGCGGTCAGGAGCAGGAGGGCAGGAGGAACTAAACAAAGAGTCCACGTCCTATTCTGTTTCCCCCACACTTCCCAGAGGAACTCATGATGAACAGGTTTGTTCAATGAATCCCAAGTCAAAAATGTACCCCAAGAAGGTAGTCACTGAGGGCAGGGCTGGAGTTTTAGCCAAGTGATAGCATGTATACCTAGCAAGCAAGGCCAAGTTCAGTGCCCAGCTCCAGAAAACAGACCAACAGAACGGAAGGGCAGCGGCAGGAGTACTCAGCCAGATCTGTCCTCCATTAAGGATTGTAGGACCTTCTATTGATGGCTCCGTTCAGAGCCTGGCAGAAGTGCTGTTCATGATGGATATCCCTCTCCACCCCCAGGGAAGGTAACCCAAGGACCCATCTAAGGGCTGGTGTAAATGGCTTTGGCTCTCTGTGGGGATGGGCTGAGGAGAGAGGTTTGTCCCTGGTCTTTGGGACACTGTACTCATAGGACACCCCCTCCCACATGGCTGGAACAGAGAGTCTTCTCTCCCAGGCAAATGTCCCGCGGCTGCAGCTGGGAAAGCTGGGAAAGCTGGGAAGCAAAGGGATCACAGTGGTCCCTGGTCTTGCCTGGGACTTACTATTTTGAGCTGGAGAGAAAATTATGGAGGAAAGGTTTTCCTAAGATGTACTAAGAACTAAGAGAGGGGGGTGAGAGCAATGCCAGGCAGAGGTGCTGATCTTGGAACGTCCCAGGGCCCCATCCCCGGACAGACAGGAAAACATCAACCTAGAGCCAGGAGACTTTACTCTCTACCCCACTGAAGAAATATCTGGCAGTGTCTGGAGACACTTCTGGATTATTGAGACTAAGTTCTATGGGCATTTAGTGAGGGGGCAGGGACACTGCTAAATATCCTGCAAGGCACAGGACAGTTCCCACAGCAAAGAATGATCCACTGCTAAGGACAATCATGCCGAAGCTACCTGGAGATAGTCTGCAGGCCTACACCTAAACGCTAAAGATCACTCCTAAGGACAATCATGCCGAATCTACCTGGAAACAGTCTCTGCAAACCTACACCTAAACTCTTAGATATCATTCAGTACACCCTGGTTAGTGTACTTGTGCCTAGCTCACCCATCTGTCAAGTCGGGGGTGATACAGGCACGGCCCATCTGAGAGGCTATTGTAAGGAACAAACAAGATTATGCCTGCTGAGCACTTAGCCGAGATCCTGGCCCTGGCCATGTGTACTAGTGGCAAAAGTGGTGTCTTCTCGCGTGAAGGAACGTTGGGTGAGGCGCAACCAGGAAAGGTGACCAGGTCGTTAGTGAGCAGGAGCTAATGCCCTTTAATGGTGATGGTGAGTTCCGTGTTTCTAAGTGTCTTCTGTGAAGTGACTGTTACACAACCGAGAATACACGGGGCACAAGACAGTGCTGCTGGTCTTGTTGAGGTTAGAGCCTTTCAAGGGCGTGGCTGGGTCGAGCCCCCTCATGCTCGCGGTCTATTAACTTAGGTACAGTTTCATAAAAGTGAGGACTGAAGTGGTCGATGGTTACTCTGAGCATTACTGGGAGCAGCTGCTGGGCTTGCTCTGCATGTGAGCTCTCCTCAGATGAGAAGGACCCAAGTAAAGGACATCAGGGCCACTGGATTTCCTCTGCAGACCACACAGGAAAACCTATCAGCAACAGACACACCTCTGAAGGGCTCCTTTCAGACACATGCCTGGAGCAATTGAGCCAGGTCCAATGAAACCTTGAATTCAGTACAAGACCTCTAAGGGATGAGTCACGGGGGTCAGCATCGGGTGTTTACAACAGCAAAAATGGCTGACAGGCCATGTTGGGGTCACTCTCTTCCTTGTCTGCCCAGGCACAGACCTCATCTTAGAGATGGCTCCCAGCCCAGAGGCATCAGGGTGACCCAGAAGATCCCCAGATGTACATTTTTCTTGACCAGGATCGTCACTGGCCTCATGCTTGAGGTCGTCCCTTTGTTTCCATCCTGTCTTCTCCTACATGGCTGGAATAGCTTGTATGTGGGATTAAAGCCCCATACCCACTTTGCTTTGTTGTACCCAAGGGTTGAGTCCTGGGCAATCACCATCACTGTGATCCCTGCTCACTGGCTTAATAACTTTGAAAACTCTTGGTTACTTCTTTAACCTCAGGTACCATACGCAGAGACTACAAGTCCCTCTAGTAAGAGGGCCCCTGTATAGAATACATGGTTAATATGTGTATATTCAGAACAGTGATTCCCATTTAGCAAAGGCTTTGTTACTGTTTCTCATGGTGACACCAATGGCTGAGAGCAAGGGAAGAAAGGTATGTCCCTTTAGACTCTCCTTTAGGAACTCTCCCAGAGTTCCTAAGGCTGGCATGGCTCTTTGGAGGGGCTATTCCCAGGCTGTGATGAGGCAGTCTGGGGAAAAAGGGGCAGGAGACAATGGGCTGGCAGCTTGTTTGGAGGTAGACTTGAGATCTCTACCCTGGAGGTGTTCGTGCCCCTGCTGATCTGCGGAGCCCTTTCAACCACATCTGCTCTTGAGGTTCCCAGCTGCTGCCTTCTGCTCCACAAACTGGGAGCCTAAACCACTCCTGGTTGGGCGGAGGAAGAATATATCACAAGTTGTCTTATGTTTCCCCTACTTCAATTTGGAATAGAAACCAGAGTGGAGCATGTCTTCTTTCTACCTTTCATGGATATTTTTTCCAGAGAATTCAGTGAAGTTAAGAGGAAAAGTATTAGCCTAGAGACTTCTGGGGCTTCACAGGTTTTTGAATGCATGATGTATGCCTCTCGGATTACCCCAGGGCATCACAGGTTTTTGGATGCATGGTGTATGCCTCTTGGATTGCCCTAGGGCATCAGTTTGCCAGCACCTTTGAAATATTTGAATTCAGCATTTTTCTACCAAGGATGACAAGCCAACAAGTAGAAAGGTGAGGCAGGGTATGGAATGGATGGGCTTGTGTGGAGGAGGAACAATTATTAGAACTACTGGATTAAATAGCCTTCATGCTGGGCATGTAGCATGGTTGGAGAGCCATAAGACTCTGGGGTTTGAGTGCCAGCCCTGCCAACAAAAACAAACCAAACTAAATCAAAGGACTATCTTTTGGGCACAAGGACATCCCAGTCCCTGGATGTTACCTACTTGGTGAGTGCTTGTTATCTAGAGACAGAATTTGGATTTCCTTATCTCTCTCTTTATAATGCAGGGCTCTATAACACCCACCCAATGGCTCCAACCTGATCTCAGGGTCTGTCCTCTCAGGGTAGGCTGTGTCTCTAATATATATATATATATATATATATATATATATATATATATTTAGGCTTTCAGAGGAACGTGATTATACTTGAGTATGAAAGCTTAGACTTCATCATGTAGGATGGAGCCATAAGCGAGAAGAAACTGGAGCCAGACAAAAGCAGTAAGCCAGGATAGCATATGTCTCTAGAGTATGGTGTGACATTTGTGGGACATAGGCCTCTAGTCACACTCTCACCCCCAACTCTCATAAATGTTAGGGAGGACATTGCTCTCTATTGACTCTGGACCTTCTTACAGAGGCATGGCCTTTGCTTTTGGATTTGTCACTGGAAATTGGCTATAATGAAGACCCTCTTGCCAGCTTTCTCCTGTCAAGATGGAACTGGTTAACTGTTTTAATATTTATAACCTTGAAGAGGAATGTCATAGACAGGTATCTTCTCCCATGATTCAACAACCAATAAAGCTCTGGAACCACGACTTGGCTGTAATAAGCACCAGAGTTAGTGTGGGGGAAGGTCATCACTAGTATGTGACAATAGTCAATCTCTGGGAACCTTGGTGGCATCAGTTGTGAAGCAGGGGTAGGAGAAATATCTACTTTATCTCTGGCTCTTGCATCACTCCCTTGCTATGGATGCTCAATGACTGAAGAGGTGGATGCAGGAAGAGATGCTAAAAGAGTCCAAGGGTAGGTATAGACCCTCTGGACAGGCTGAGTCAAGAACGGCAGGAAAGATGAAGACAGGAAGGGACAGAACTGTGTTAAGAGAACCTCCCCCGCCAAGTGCCTGATGTTTGTAGACAGGGTTAAGATGAAGGATGACAATAATGGAGATTTACGGGGAATGAGGAAGAGGATGGCAAGTCAGTCCCACAAAAACAACAGCTGCACACTGTGTTCATCTCACGGAGATGTTAGCTGAACAGGTCATGTGGATTTCCTTCTGAGTACCTGAAAGTGAAGCTCAATCCTGCGGCTGGGCTGTGTACCCTTGGAGAATGGGGCTGTGTCTAATTCTGAATGAGCCCACCTTGTCTCCCCAGCAGGTAATGTGGTACCTAAGAAGCTACAAGTCCAGTCTGCTGAGATTAACTAAACTACTTTCTATCTCCCGATAATCTAGTGCCTGAAAGTCACAGAAATCAGCCATCATCTCAAAGTAAAGCAGAGCGGCAGCCTACCACTGCCTCAAGGAGAGAGCACTGTATTCCTACAGGCCTTTCCTCTGTGGCCCCAAGTGCCTGCCACTGCGTGCCTTCCTCCTACCTCAGGAAGGGCAGCTGGGATGGGCCATTCTCCTCCAGGTAAACATGACCTTGCTACCTCTCCTGGGACTGGGTATTAAAGAACCCTCTCTGAGGCCCAGACAGTTGGTAGTCTTCTCTCCTACCTCCTTATACAACCAAAGTTGGCAAGTTCCAGAAAGGCTTTGCTCAGTGGGGGATAGACCAAGCGAATCCTGTCCGGTGGAAGGGGGCCAGACAACATTCTGACGGATGGAATTCCCGTGAGCCACACACACCCACACTCAGAGTTGCAGAGATGTGTCACCTACTCACAATGCTTTACAAAGTGTTACTTGAGCAAAGTGTGTTGCTGTCATCCAGGCAGCCACACCTAAAGTAAAATTGACACTCCCATTTCCTTTCCTTTCTAGTCTAATCTAACTCCCACACCACCTCCTCTGCCCCATTTGGAGCAGAGGCTGCTTCTGGCAAAGTCATTTTAAGCCACAGCCAGGTCTGACAGTACAGATCCTTGTGAACAACAGCGAGCCACTGAAGGCTATGCTGGAGTTTGGGACGATGGTTTAGAGACCATATACTAAGTGGAGATGAGGGACAGAGCGGGATGAACACATAGAAGCTGCGGCCATAATGTAACTTAAAGGTTCTCAACAGGGACTTTAAAAAAGAATTACCTTGCTCCCACAGTCAACAGAGCCGGTCTTGGGGAAATGGAGCTATCAGGAATAAATGAGGGTGGGCATGAGAACATGGTGGGCTGCAGACACGGGTTCTATAGGAGGAAGAGGGACTTTGGCACAAGGGCAAAGGGTGCCAAGGGCAGAGACTTGTGCACTACAGGTATCCTGGGTGCTCACGGCCAACTGTAGAGTTAAACCACAGAGGAGTCTGACTCAGTTACTCTGTGTTTGAGCCACAGTCTGATAGAAGTTCTTTAACTGTGAACCGTTTGTTCCCGGAGCCTTCTACTGGGACCTGACAGAGGTCTCACTAATAACGACAAAATTCAACTTCCTCAGGAAGACAGACAGTAATCCAGCTCTTGCTTCTCTCCAATCTCAGCCTTCACTTGCCCTCACTCTATCCTGTGGCCTCACTTTCCCTAACGCCTATCCTTATATTTCCCACCAGGTTGTAGTATTGCTGTATTTCCTGAGTCACCCTCTCTTCCCTTCCTGGCCTTGTCTGTTTCTATTTCTGTCTCACACACAGACCATTGTCGAGTCCTCAGGGACAACTTTGCAATGCTCCTACATAACCTGGTAGCCACATCTCTGACTCTATAGCATCAGTGACAAACGCTCAGGGCACAGATTAGATCACAGTGGCTGCTTACACGTTTCCCCCCCCCCCCCCCCCCCCCCCCCCCCCCCNCCCCCCCCCCCCCCCGCACCCAGCCTTGCCCTTCTGCATCTTCAGAGTTAACAACGTCTGCTGAGTGAATAAATGATGCATGAAGGCACAGAATTTGTGAATCGATAACCAGGAGCTGCTCAAAGCTGAAAATATGGGTAATAACTCCGAGAGTTTACAGAGGGGAAAAAAAAGAGTGGACTGAGAACTTCAGCAAACACACAAAGGTGGTGAGAGGAGCTAGGCAAGAACCCCGACGGGAGGAGGAGAAGGCAGAGATCCTGTGGAATCACAAGACAGAGGGAGAGTCAGGTGATGGCTGTGCTTGGCCAAGTGCTACCGAGGCTGAGACAGGTGGTGAATTTGTCAGGGACCTTGAAAAGAGCAGGCCTCGCTTCAGAAGGGGGAAACCGGCAGAATACGCGGCTTGGACAGGGTGTGCTCTTCTGACAAACAAGCAAGCAACAAGGAAAGCTTCCTGAGAAAGGGCCCCAAACAATCCACAGACATAGGGGAAGCAGGTGCTCTTGGAGAAAGCAGCAGATGGCAGTGGTGTAGCCAAATCTAATACGATGGCCTGGAAGACAGTTGTGAGACTCACCATGTGGGCATCTTGTCTCAACGTCTAGCAGCAGGCTTCTTTTCCTCTTCGCAGGTCATATTTGCAGAGTTAGTTGGTGTGGCTTTCCCTGTCTGACCCAACCCCATGTCTACTGCCTGTAGGTAGGAGACAGCTGCCAGTCTCTTTGAGTTCCTGTTAAATGACTGGACCATTTCCTAAGGGAAGATGACACTTGGAAGCCATCTTTCAGAGGAATTCCAGGTATTTGGTCACCAAGTTAAGAAAAGCCAGTGGTCAAGTAAGAAGTGTCCTTTTGTTCAATTCTGGACCCCTGGCGTCAGGCCAAAGCAGGGACCCAAGCTAATCTGGATATCTCTACTCCCGTGACATGTAGATCTATGACCCCAACCAGTCACTCTACCTGGGACTTTGCTTCTTCTCCTTTGACCTTGGTGCAGGGGCTTAGCCTGAGGTGTGGAGTCTCTTGGTTTTTCTGCTTTTGAGACTCTAGGCACTTCTGCCTCTGCCGGATATTGCCCTTCTGGATGGAGGAGTCTGAGGGCACCCTGTAGGGAAGCCACAGGGACAGATGAGAACGCACTGCTTTTGACATTAATGCTGCTAACTGCTAGAGATTAGGGGTGTGTTTTGACACAGAGCCATCGTCCCTGGAGCTGTCTCAAAGGTCGGCACCACTCAGAGGAGGGAAGTGCTGTGGGCGTGATGCAGCAAGGGACCCTCAGCGGCCACACAGCAGATGGATGTCTAGGATGGAGTCTATGTCACCAATCCTATGCTCTTAGCGCAGCCCAGCATACCACCCCCAGTAAGTCCAGTCTCTCATGCTACTAAGTTTGACACAATTCTCTGGTTCAGGATAAGCGGGACTGATTGGTCTTTTCAGTCCTCCATAGACTTAAAAACTCTCCTCCAGTCGGCCACGGGTCATGTCTCTCCCAGGCCAGGCCGGACAAGGGCCTCTTCTTGTAGCTAGCTCTGGTTCCAGCAGATAGGTATACCTGAGTTCTGGGTAGACGTTCTCCAGGTACCACTTGAAGGTCTGGCAGTGTAGATTCTTCCTTAGGTTCAGCCTGTTCTCAATGCTGGAATGATGAGGTTGAAGGGTGGGACACAGAGACAAAACACAGCCATCAGAGGCAATAGTCACAACAGTGCCCCCCCCTCCACCAGTGGCACACTCTGCAGCCACACATCTCTAGAGGGGGCTGAGTCAATGAACCAAGCAGAGATTTCTCCACCTCCAGACAGGCCTATGAAATCAAGCAGCTTTGTTCTCTTGATGATGTAGTAATGACAGCAAGGACTTGTGCTTTTCTTTGAAAATGGAATTGGGGGTCTTTGGCATCTTCATTAAAAGCTAAACTGCAAGAACGCTGAATGTGTCGTTAATAATTCACTGCTGCGACTCTGGATCCACCCTCACTCCTGGTCCTTCTGTGGTTGGAATACCCTTCCCGACTGCCCCAGTCCCAGAGCATCCCCTTCTCTGGATGGTCTTGGGGTCTCATCACACATTTGTTCATCCAATAGTCACTGAACATCCCTACATGACAGGCATTGCATTCAGTGTGCTTCGGGAGAGTAGTACAAGTACCATAGGCCACGTGACCCTGAAGACAGGGCACACAGACACCTTGGAGGTGTATTCTTATTCTTGTTTGATGGGTAGCATGGTCCTCAAATGCCTATTGATGCTGGAATGTGGAAGGAAGTGGAGCCATCTAGAGAAGTCAAAGGGTGGGTGAGGCAGGGGTCCTGCTGTAGATGGGGTGGAAAGGAAAGCAGAGATCAGTGCTGTGAACAAGTCAGAAAGTTCTGCTTACAGGAGCAACACTGGCCATGTGGCCTTAAAACAGAAGTGCCTGTGAATGGGGGAAGTGAGTCCATGGAGCTCCACAGGAGGCACTACTGAAGGGTGTCGGCTCTATCTCAGGGGCTCTGGGACTGACTTATGGGCCTTAAGCATGACTTAGGGATGCTCTAAGGAAATCTTACCACTGCTTCTGGAGTGGGCCAGTTGGAGCAGAAGTGGGGACAGAGGTCAGACAGAAGGTGACTGTATAATCCTGGGGATCATTATACTCTTTTTAGTGAGTTGGGTGGGAATGGAGATGGTCAATCCTTTATTCTTAAGACCTAAGTACTAGTCAAACCTTGTCCTCAATGGGAAGCCAATGACAGTAGCCCTGCCTCCTGCCCATCCCCCTTCCTCCCAACCCTTTCTCTCTCCAAGACTTGACTCAAACTATTTTTCTTCCTCTTCTTCTCAGTTTCCTCCTTCTTGTGCTGGGACTCAAACCCAGGGCCTCCTGCACCTCTAGCCAACTGCTCTACCACTGAGCTTCAGCCCCAGCCTTGAGACTTCTTGAAGCACATAGCACACTCCCTCACCAGACCTCTCAGCTGCTCATGGACAAGGACAGCATGCTTTTCACATGCTTGATGTGCTGTGTGTAGAAAGAGCCTGGGTTCTTGGGCTTTGAGTGAAGCAGCAGCATCAGGACATGGTGATCACTCAAACAAGTCAAGGATGGGGAACCATGGTGATATCCAGACTTGCGGGACTTGACACACATGGTGTAAGAAAGACTGTGGGACTGGATGGGGGACTACAGGGTGAGGGACAGATTCAGGAACAAACTTAATGAGGTTAACTTAGGACTTGTTCCACTGGAGATGTCTGGGAGACACCAAGGCAGAAGTGGCCATTTGATACTTGGGCATAAGAAACTGCCTCCCAGAGGAAAGGTTGCGGTTAGAAACACGGCAGTGAATAGATGTGGCAACGTCACCGGAAGGATGTATAGTTAATAAAAAGACGATTTAGGACAGAGCCTCAGAGGAAGAAACTAAGCATGGAGTTGGGATGGAAGACACAGGATTCAGGAGCAGCAGAAAAAAAAGCTCAGGAGCCAGGGGTACTCCAGAAGGGAGGGTGTTGGGCTAAGCCTGGTGTAAATAGCCACAGAGTTCAGAGGAGGCACCACTACACCATGATGCTTGGTCCTGGGCAGGCAGAAGACAGGCAGAGAGGTGGTGAGCAATGTTGTCATAAAGGTAGCTATCATTGTGTATTTTTTTGACCATCTTTCTTTCAAGTCAAGGAGTAGATGCAAACGTGCAAGGGAAGGATACAGGAGAAGTAAACCGAGGTTGTAGAGAGAGGAGGTGCCTGGATATGGGCATGCTCACCCGCCTGCAGGGCTGGACACTCTACTAATTTGAAAGCCAAGCAAACGAGTCCTCTGGAGAATGAGATCAAGCAGCAGAGGTTTTGGAGATCTGCAGGAAATTCTACTGTCAGGTTAGTTTGGGAGCTGCTCGGTGGAAATTTATTCCTCAAAAAAGGACCCTCCGCCAACAATGCAGCATCACGTGGGAACTTATTAGAAACACAGACCGCAGGAATCAGATTCCATGTTCTAACATGCTCCCTGGGAGATCTGTGCACTCATTAAAATTTGAGGGGCCCTGCACGGCAGGCTGGAGGAGATGAATGCAGACTGCGGGAATGTGATAAGTGTTGATTTATGAATAAATGCATCCATTCATAAACCCTGTATCAGTAAGTCAGACCTCCTCTGGAAGCACACCTGTCCACAGAGACAAAGGAGAGCGAGAAGGATGGTACAGTTGTGGCCAGGCTAATGGGTCAATTTGTCTTGGGAAATCAATATTGTCTATTTCACCCATAAACTAGATGTCATCTGTGCAAGAGGAAGAAAGGAGGTGGTGGGTTCCTGGGTGGGAAGGGAGTGAAGAAGGTTTAATAAAAGCAGAGGGTTTGAGCTGGTTAGGAAAGAGCAGGGCCAGGAGGAATCATGTGACTTTGCTGACAACACAGCCATGAAGTCCCATCAAGTCGGAGATTCTGAAATTCCACAAGACTGTCCAGCAGCCTTGCACAGGGGGAGGAAGAGATATAAAAGCATTGTGTGCGTGTATGTGTGTGTGTGTTCATGTGTGTAGGAGAAGATGTTACTAGGTGGACAACAGAGCAAAAGATTGGAAGACCAAGTTGGGCAGTGGTGGCGCACGCCTTTAATTCCAACACTTGGGAGGCAGAGGCAGGCGGATCTTGGTGAGTTTGAGGCCAGCCTTGTCTACACGGCGAGTTCCAGGACAGCCAGGCTTCTTACACAGAGAAACCCCAACTTGGAAAAAACAAACAAACAAACAAAAGATTGGGGACCAAACTCCCCGTGGTCCTGCCTTTAAGTATAGAGTAGAAGGAATCCTACATGGGCTGGGGGGGGGGAGATAAAGGAGTGAGGCTGATGGGACCCAGAGTTGTGACGTGGACAAGATACAATTCCTCAGGAGAGGTGGAGCAAGCAATCTGGAGAGTGGGCCTGGATGGTGATGGCGGAGGTACAAATCACTTTGGTTAGCTCCGATCTAGTCCTCTGGTGCAGGGATGAACCCAGCCCTAGAGGTTTAGGCTTCAAAAGACCACCTGCTCAATGGCCTTCTATCATGAGTGAGATGAGTAGGACAAAATGCCACGGTGGCCCCGCCTCCTCCCCAAGGAACACAGGTAACTGAGGGAAGTTGCGATGTTTTTTTCTTACTTCAGCCAGCTTGGGGCTGGGAAGTGCGAGGCCATATGGTTTGGGAATCAGTGTGTTGTGGGCCTTCGGGGTGATCTGTGCTCTCTACATAAACCCCAGTCTCCTTACCTGTCAATCAGGGCTAGGCAACTGCATCTCTCAGAGCTTAGGGAAGAGTAAAGAGATTCTGCATGGAGCAGTGAACCTAGCGTTTAATAAACATTCCTTCTTCCCCTCTTGTCTTCACCTATGAAGCTTGACTGTTGCTGAAGAAGATAGGTGAGCATGTAGTAAGGAAGGGCTGGAGCTTAAGCTTGGAGGAACAAAGAAGTCGAGGAGGAATTTCAACCTAGAGGGACCAGTAGCCCACTTTACCTATCCGTCTACCATGCAAGGCTATGCTCAGCTCCCTCTACTGGAGTGGTCATGGAGGAGTGGAATCATGGGATAGCTGGCAAACACCCTGCATACCCAGAACAGTGTAGAGCATAAAGGGACCTGAAATCAGAATGACCATAGCTCTAGGCCTGAAGGAGGCTCCAGAGTCAGCTAAGGTGATGAGCCCCTGAGGTGAAGTCCCTCTCACTCCTCAGCCCCCATCCGTCAGTGCATACTTACTTCCCGAAGGGTCTCTCCAGGGCGAAAGGTCGGGCTGCGTAGTAGTACTGTTTGTATTCATCCATCCACACTTCAGCTGTCCGCTTGGTGTTCCTAGGGCAATAAGGAGTCTCAAGAGGGAGCTCATCTGGGAATCACCTGTGGACATTCCCAGGTGAAGTAAACACACGGGGCAAAGTTGACAGCAGCCACCAGGACAGAGGTGTTCACATCGCTATTTTTAGAATACGGAGCATAGGCAAGTGTCCCTATCTCTGCAGGTATCCCAAGACGTAGGACTTTAGTAGTAACAACAGCCTTTCTCCCAAAGATACATATCAGGAAAAAAAATCACACCAGAAACTGAACATTGGTGACTCTCAAGAAAGCAGAAAAGGGTCAGGAAAAGTAGGTATATCATTTGTTGCCTGTCAATCTGAGTAAAAGGTGGGGCTTGTGAGGACCAGCTAACCTCTGGGTCTGCTTGGTTAGTGAGCTCTTGCTCCAAGTTCTTCCACTTTCCCACAGGGGACATGTTGAGGTCTCAGCTCCCCAAAAGTAAGGGTGGTGCAACACACGGGCCAAGCAATACGTAAGGGATTAGCAATCAAGCTATCTCTTTCAGCACTTTGCCTGTAAGCTTGAGTCTGATCCTAAGCATAACCATGGAAGAAGGAGAGGCAGAAGAAGAGGGAATGGTTGTGATCATTCAACAGTCAGGGGTCCCAGGAAGATCCCTGAAGTCAAGAGCAGAGAGATCAAAAAATAATGAGGGCTGGTGGGTCTGGGCAGCTGATGTGCACAGGAGCAAGGGAACATGGGTCTAAGGAATACCGACTTGCTCCTTGAGGTTCTTAGGTCGACTTTAGAGCACAGACATTTGATAGAGGAGCATGGCAAACCCTTCTGAGCTGGATTCTGAAAGGAGAGTTAAACACAGGCAACTAAGAGTTAAAATCACCTGGCTAGCCCCTATGAGTGGCCTCACTATCCGAAAACTGGAAACTGCTTTACAAACACCATGCCTCTTTTCACTAAGAATGGCCCACCCACCACTGCCCTGCAAGGATGCTTCCTGGCCAAAGCCCAATCTCAAATAGGAAAAACATCTGACGTCCCAGGATCCTGCTTCCCAAGCCAGTGCCCGTCCAGCGGTCTCTGATTCCTGCACAGTCATACCCCTGTGCCACATGCCTGATATCCCTGGCTACCTTTACAGTTTCAAAACCTGAAATCAAAGGTGGCTGGCTCAGCCCTTGTTTCCTTGATGCTCCCTAACCTGCCACCTTCTCTTCCCCCTCCATCCTCTCCTCACACACCCTGCCTTGTAAGATGCAGAACTTGAGCACTGTTCAAACCCAGGCCTCCTGAGCTAGCTGTGTCGGGATACGATACACGCCCATTCACATGGGTGATAAATCGTGAAAGAATACCATAAATAAGTAAGTCAAAAAATCAAAGGATGGGAAGCTTCCTCCCCAACACAAATGGACCAAACAGGAGGAAAGGAAAGGGGACTGATTAGGGAGATGAGTGAAGCATCTGGATGCCAAGAGACAAGAAGATCAAAGAAAAATATTTTTAAGAGAGTCAGGGGCTAGAAAGATGACTTGGCAGTTAAGTGGGCACTGTTGTCACAAAGGACTCAAATTTGATTGGTTCTCAGCAACCACATTAGGTGGTCGGCAAACTGCCTGCGACTTCAGCTCTCCTCTGGCCACAAAAGGCAGCTCCATCCACACGTGCCCCTCCCTTCTCTGTACATATACATATAATTGCTTTTAAATCCTAAGAAAAACAGACATACGGGAATGTTTGAACAAGAGAAAACTAAAGAGAAATATTGAGAAGATGTAGGAGGGAAAAGGAGAAAGGAGGAGGGAGAGGCAAGGAGTCACTGATTTCTGTATCTGTGGAATAGGGGTGTTGATTGAGAGGAGAAGCCCTGAGCTGGATTATCAGGAATGCCCCTCTGGATTCTTCTAGTCTAGCAGGAGGTCCTGGAGCAGGCACAATGCTGCTCTCTCTAGTGTTTCCCATCTCTGGTTCTTCCCAGGGATGGCTCCCTGAGCAACCCAGCTGTTTCCCCTCCCCTTCCCAAATGCCTAGAGGCAAATCCCTGCAGGATGGACCTAACCAGGGACTTCAGTTACTGAAGTTCTAGGGAATAAGGCAGGTGTGGGTGGGCTTGGTGGCACTTCTCAAGTCTTGGAGATACCCTATGGAAGCCTTGACTCTAATGCCAATTGCTCAGGCAGAGTCTGAGTTGTAGGCGTACAACTCCTGCATCATCCAGGGCGCTCAGGCTGCCTGGCAGAGCTCAGACTCCATTGCAAATCCTTGGCCTCTCTTGCCTCGCTACCATCCATACACATTAGGCCAGAGCCCGCACTTACTTTATGTATGTGTTGGCGTTTCCATCAGGGAAAATATACGGATGTTTTTTCCTGAAGACGTGCCCCACCCGGCTGCAGGGGATGATCTCCAGGCTGCCTCCACACATCCACACTCGGAAGGAGATTTCTGCAAGACATCCGTATTTCTCCCATTACTTGCCAGTCTTTCTATACTGGATTTAAAGTAGTGGGCCTGGGGCTTCACGGGCATCTAAAAACAAATCTTACAGTTAGGCTGTGTGTTCCACTGTTTGGGAGCACATCTAAATTCCAGTCCAATACCATGAAGACTGGACCTGGAATTGCCCAATAGACAGCATGGAGATGTGGGGTACCCTAGTGGGTTGTTTTGGGAGACAATGAAAGGTTTGCTTTGGGATACGACACAGGACAAAGGCTTCGGTGTGGAAAATCAGTCACAGTCCCTCTCTGTGATCATGCATCAGGACAAAGACGGAGGACAAGACTGGTCAGGTGGCTTAGCCTGAAGACCTGAGTTAAGTCTACAGAACCAACATGATACATCTACCTCTTCCTGTTTGCTGCTGAGTGGCGGAAGATGGGATGGAGTCAGGAAAGGCTGTGGTTAGCTGGTTTTCTGTTGGAGCTACTCAGAGTAGGAAGGCTCCAGGCCAGATTTTTGTCTCAATGATAGCCCCGGGGAATCAGGCAGATGGTAGAAGCAGAGAGAAAGGGACAGAAGAATACTTCTTCACTGCCATTGTTCGAAACTGCCTGTGTGAGATGACACTGAACAGCATCTCTTTTTTATTGCTTTATTGAGCTCTACATTTTTCCCTGCTCCCCTCCCTGCCTCTCCCCTCCCCTTCAACCTTCTCCGATGGTCCCCATGCTCCCAATTTACTCAGGAGATCTTGCCTTTTTGTACTTCCCATGTAGATTAGATCCATGTATGTCTCTCTTTGTTGTCTAGGTTCTCTGGGATTGTGATTTTTAGGCTGGTTTTTCTTACTTTATGTTTAAAAACCACTTATGAGTGAGTACATATAATTGTCTTTCTGGGTCTGGGTTACCTCACTCAATATTATGTTTTCTAGATCCATCCATTTGCCTGAAAATTTCAAGATGTCATTATTTTTTCTGCTGTGTAGTATTCCATTGTGTAAATGTGCCCATTTTCCTTATCCATTCTTCAGTCAAGGGGCATTTAGGTTGTTTACAGGTTCTGGCTATGACAAACAATGATGCTATGAACATAGTTGAGCACATGTCCTTGTGGCACGATTGAGCATCCTTTGGATATATACCCCAAAAGTAGTATTGCTGGGTCATGAGGAAAGTTGTTTCCTAGTTTTCTGAGAAATCACCACACTGACATCTAAAGGGGTTGTACTAGTTTGCATTCCCACCAGCAATGCAAAAGTGTTCCCTTTACCCCACAACCTCTCCAGCATAAGTTGTCATCAGTGTTTTTGATCTTGGCCATTCTTACAGGTGTAAAATAGAATCTCAGAGTTGAAATTAGAGAAAGAAATCAGAGAAACATCAGTTTACACAACAGCCACAAATAGCATAAAATATCTCGAAGTAACTCTAATCAAACTAGTGGAAGACTTGTATGACAAGTACTTTAAATCTTTGAAGAAAAAAATTGAAGACGACACCAGAAAGTGGAAATATCTCCTATGCTCTTGGGTAGTTAGAATTAACAGTAAAAATAATCTACAGATTCAAAGCAATACCCATCAAAATCCCAGCAAAATTCTTCATAGACCTCAAAAGAATGGTACTCAACTTCATATGGAAAAGCAAAAACCCAGGATAGCCAAAACAATCCTGTACAATAAAAGAACTTCTGAAGGCATCACAATCCATGACTTCAAGTTCTACTACAGAGCTACAGTACTGAAAACAGCCTGATATTGGCATAAAAACAGACAGCAGGACCAAAGGAACCAAATTAAGGACCTGGATATTAATCCACATACCTTCAAACACCTGATTTTTGATGAAGAAACAAAAAAAAATCAAATTAAATGCATCTTAAGACAGCTGTATGGCTGCTTTACAATTCTCTATGCACAATGCTCCCCTTACTAAGTCTATTCAGACTCCCTCTCCCATCCTCCACCCTAACGGGCACATCAGTGATAGAAAGGGGAGAAAAAGCAATGTCTAATTTGTGGGACTCCCTGCCTGGCCCATGCTTCTGCGCTGAAGTTCAAGTGTGGGGACAGGCCTCTTAAGGGGAAAAATACCCGAGTGGCTGCCCCTGTGACGCAGTCCTAGTCCAGGGACAGAGAATGGGGGTGTAGGTATCTCAGGGCCTCTCTGTCATGCGCCAGCATACCTCCAGCAGCCTGGGTCCCACCTTTCAGTCTCCCTAGGTTACCTCATATGGCCTTTCTCTTCTGCTTTCCTCCCGTGTCCTGCCATATCTGCATCGCACCAGCACTCAGAGCAGGCACCAAAGCCCGGATTCCCCCTCTCCTTCCCTGCTCTCAAATGTTCTCTGCAACCTTTGTTTGCCCCCCCCCCCCCTGCCACCCTGTTGCAGGCAGGAGTTCCTTTATACCAAGCCTACTCCACTGTTTCAATACCTGCAGCTCTGCCTGCCTCTCCCAGTCAGGCTGCACCCAGAAAAACAGAGCAAAGACACAGGAAGAACTTGGCTTTGTCTACTAAGTCTGTAGTGGCCTGTTAGATACATCCTTGGGAAAGCAGGCTTCCGCTTGCTGAGGCTTGATCTTGATCTTGTGAGTTAAACCAAGACGGTCAAACTCCCCCACAGAACTGCTGTTAGCATCAAATGGAAGAGACTTATGAGAATATCTGTGAATCGAGCACTATACACCCTGGGGAAGGCAATCTCTTGAAAACTCAGCCACTGACATCACCCACCTGGGTGTGCTTCTTCACAGGCTTCCCCCTCATTCTGTCAACACGACAGGAGACCCTGGAGCTTATTAACTTAATACCGGAGATTTTACATCTCCTCAAAGGTCCCAGATATAGAGAATTGACATTTGGCTACATCACTGTCTGAGACTGGTGTTTGTGAGCCACCTAAGCAAGGTGTGGTTCAGTTGTCTGCGACCCACATCTTGTCCAGACACTACAACAAGGGATCTCTGAGGTCAGATGTGGAATCCTGTCCATGCGTGTGGGACTGAGTTTTCTTTTTGGTGTGTTCTCCCATCCATTCTTCTCCAAGAACCCCAAGAAGGGTCTGCTCTACTTTCTGGAAAGGAAACCTCTGTAAAGCCCAACAAATGAGATGATGGTCTGGCTTATGAGATATAAGCTACACACTTTGTGCCAGCCTTTCTCTAAGCAGATGCCTGTGTCTCAGCTAGCGTCTTCTTTTCCGTATATTCAAATGAGACATATGTTCCCACATTTGAAAAGCAAATTCCTACAGTCACAATCCCATCCTCCCCACCCTCTTTCCCTGCAGTTTCTCTGCTCAGTTTTGTTTTCAGAGTCCATCAACCCCTGTTATGGTAGTTTGAGTGTACTTGGCCCCCAATTTCATAGGAGTGTCACTATTAGGAGGTACGGCTTTGTTGGAGTAGGTGTGGCCTGTTGGAGGAAGTGTGTCCCTGTGAGGGTAGGCTTTGAGGTTTCCTATGCTCAGGATACTGCCCAGTGTGACAGTCAACTTCCTGTTGCCTACAAGATGTAGGACTCTCAGCTCCTTCTCCAGCACCACATCTGGCTGCATGCCACCATGCTCCCCACCATGATGATAATGGACTGAACCTCAATTAGAAGTTTTTCATTTATGAGTTGCCGTGGTCATGGTGTCTCTTCACAGCAATAGAAACCCTAACTAAGATACTTGCCCACCATTGGTCATGTAGTTTCTCATCTTAAATGGTTCCATCACCTGGCCCTTTTTCCCTCTCTTCTCCTTTCCTCAGGGACACGGTCATGGAATGTCTTTCCATCACTGATTGCTTCGTTGTCTGATTCCAGGGCCCGCTCAAGGACACCGCGGACTCGCATGTCAGCAGCCCCAGCTCTCCTTTAGGATGCAGTGCTCAACCTCAGGGACAGCTGACACTTCAGAGAGACACACAAGCCACCATGCCACCTCATCTACATCTCTCAGCATCACCCCAGAGTCCCTGCCATCTTTCCTCCCCTAAGCCCATCATCCCCCATTTCACTTTCCTGTGTACTGTGTTAGAGCCCAAACTCAAGCTAGCCCAGTTCCTCAGACCTTAACCAAGGGAGGTAATAGCACCTTCCTGTGCTTCTAAGGCCAGGCAGTGTCTTATCCATCTTCATAAGGATCCCACTCAGTGTTCATTGGTGGGCTTCTTCTCTAAGGCAGCTCTGGTAGGGTGACGCCAGCAGGGCACTGGGAACGGATAGGCTTACCCCAGCTCCATTATCTGGACAGCCCTCTTCCTCAGCACTGAGCACCTGCTGCTGGCCAGGGCACCCACAGACACAGATTCTGACCTCAAGGCACCCACAAAGTAGGACAAGCAGCAAACACACAATCAGCTAATCCCCTCCTGCCTCATCGAGTCACACATCCAACCCTACCGAATACAGCTCTCCTTCAGGCCAGCTGCTCTATCCGGAGGACTCTTGGCCTGGGATAAGTTTGGTTTCTCAGATCTCAAGCCTAGACTGTTGTAACTGGAGTTTTGGGAGACATGTGACCTGTCATGGGTCCCCGTATTGTTGCTTGAGTCAAGAGGCTGTCTGAGGGGCACAGTGTGGCGTTTTCAGGCTGTTGTAATGACTCTAAGAACCACTCTGTGGAATTCTTAAAATCCAGGATGTTCAAAGAGGTTGCCTTTATCAGAACCGTGACTTCAGAAGGATGAGCAACTGCTCTTGTGCATACGCCAGGCCTGCTTGGTTGGCAGTTTCGTGAAAGCATTTGGGAAGGTTGACCGATCCTGAGCTGCCTGTAGAGAGCTTGGACAAATGCCAGGTTCACAGAGGCTGAGGTGTGAAGCCACACATTCTCAGAGCCTTGCTCTCCAGGCTTGCACTCATACAGGGCTATCATCTCTTCAGTGAATCTGGAAGGAGCCAGAGTGTTTGTACGGAGAGCCTGCAGGAGTTCTCGCTCAGTCGGCCCCTGCATCATCTCCCTGGTGATGAATGTCACACAGACCCAGATCTACTCTGCATTCCAGGCAG